AGACATGGGACTCCCCCAGGCAACGGAAGCATTGAGAGTGCCTATCAAAGGTAGGGGTATCGTTGCTGCATGAAGAACAATGTTTAAATCTAATGAGCCAGGCATCCTATCTATCTAAGTGTGGGGGGTAGGAGGGAGGAAGAGGAGAAAAAGGGTTTTTTAAAGAAAAAAAGTGAATAACTATTAATGATCTAAGAACTTTTGAAAGAGAAAAAAAACAGAAATCTTTCTCTAAGTAGAATGTTAACGAGGGAACAAAGTTAATGAGGAACAGTTCAGAGCTCCATCTCTGTCCAGGGATGGTAGAGAAGGAACTGGGTGAGGGGGTTGGTGCATGTGCAATACCAGGCTACTGAAGGCACATAGCCTCAAGGAATGCTCTAAAGACTCCGACCAGTGGTTCAGGGGCACACCAACACCTGCTGTGGAACAGCCACAGGGAGAACCACCTCATGTTATCTCCCTGGCACACCAATGAAGTCCTCACCTCAAGAAGACAGCTACAGAAAGAGACAGAAAGTGGAAATAAGGCACTTTGTGAAGAATGCAGAGCCTCAAAAAACTCCCAAAACTTTCAAGAAGTTTTCAGACTTCCAGACATTTTTCCGAACGCTAAATAGATTTTCAGGTGCTAATTAGGTAAGTTATTCATATTAAAATAAACCCAAATCATCAGCAGCATGCATGACACTCAGGCAACTGACTACCTATTTAAATAATGGTGAATACAGATTAAAGAACTGTCCCTAGACAATTTTAAAATGTTGACAATTATAAAAATCTGAGTTACATGAACAGTTTTTCTTCACATGTACTGTGTTTGCAGACTTAACTATTTTTACTATATTGCATTCACATACAATACAACTTATGCTCCAGCAAAGTAATCATTACAATAAATTATTGGACCACATCTATGAAAAAAATTTATGACACTGTGACTTCTGTAAGACACAGAAAATAAATTATCAAAGAATATGCTCTATTATATTCAAACTCAAAGAGTTATACTTATGCCACTGAAAGATACTTAAAATTTGACACAATGAAGAACAGGCCATAGAGACTAACTGGTCTTAAATATCAACAATGAACCATGGAAAACATTTTCTTACTGTATGAACATGGTCTCAAAAATAGCATGTTACAATGGTGCTTGCTGTAGCTATATTGGTAAAATGGGATATGGTCAATGGTGGTACTTAAAAACCTGTGAATTGTCTTAGAAATATAAGTATTTGCAAAATTCAAGATATTTCCTATTGTAAAATACATGGAACTACTGCAGACATCAAAGTAACTGTTGCTCTCCATCATAGTTAAAATTAATACTGTTTCTGATAATGGAGAATTATACTGAAATGGAATCCAACCAGTAACCAGAAAGCAAGGATATATATGTTCAACTACCTTAGCTACACAATTTCCTGCATTGATTAGCCATGATTCTTACTTGCATAATTGTTATTTCCCAGTATCAGTACAGTGATTATGCAAATCTCACTACCTTGACTGACTACAGTTCATCTGCTTTGCCACTCATACTCATAGATTTCAAGTTCTATATCAGTAAAAGAAATTCCCTACTTCGCTCGGCTAAAACAAGTTAATTCCTAAATTTATACGAGACTGAAGGGGGAAGGAGGAAGGAGGAGAAAAGTGAAGAATTTCTCTCACATTCAAAAAGAGAAAGATTGGGGAGGGAGCTTAACATATGTTTTTAATTTAGCCAACTACAAAATTATACAGCTAGGTCACACTTCCAGGATTGAGGACTGCACATTGAAAGCAAGGTGCTCTAAAAAGGACCCAGTGATCATGGTGAATAACCAGCTAACCATGAGCTCCCAGTACAATGCTTCAGCTAACAGCACGAACACAATCTTGGGATGTATAATCAGAGAAATATCAAATAGTGGTAGGGAGGTGGAAAAATATCTGTATAGACCATTGGTGAGACTGATTACTGAAATCCAATTCCAGCAGCCACATTTCTGAAGGAATGCTGATAAATCAGAACAGATTCAAGAACAACTTCAGATCTGGTAAATCTTTATATAGATAGATTTGAGAAGCTCACACTATTTACCGTACCAAAAAGTTAAGAGGTGATCTGATCACTGTCATTTCCTTCATGCAAAGATTTCTGATAGAGTGATTGTTAGTCAAAAAATTCAGAAGATCTAGAGCTGGAAGCTAAGGCCAGACAAATTCAGGCACAATTTTTTAACAAGGAGGATAATTAGCTGTTAGAACAACTTACCTGGAGTTTTTATTTAAAGTCTTGATGTCCATTTGAAAGATATATTCTAGCTCAACAAAATGTTATAGAGTCAACGTAGGAATTACTGGGTAAGATTCAGATCTATGCTGAAAGAATTCAGACAAGTTGGTCATATTAACGCCAATTGATCTTAAAACCTGGGGGGGGGGAGGGGGATCTATTAAATAAAAAGGAAGGAGGAATAAGGGTATAAGGAGGAAGAAAGTGTAAAATATTTTAACTGTCCTGTATAAAAAATGGTTTAATCTTTTCACAATATTTTTGAAGTTTCTTTTGACATTTAAAATTTAGATGAACATGTTAATTAACATGGTCATTAACCATCATTAAGGATGATTCCTATGAACTTTCCTTGTCCTTCAGTCTCAGAGTTTATTCAGTACAGGATATAGTAATTACTTTATTTAGGAAACACACTCAAGTTTTAATTTAACCAAACTGAGTTAAATTTGGTTAAATTTACGGTTGTTTTTAACAGTGGAAAAAACAACATTTTTCAAAATGTTAATAGCTAAGAGAGAGTTAGAACAATATTAATGAATAGCAAATAGTCCTATGGTACCTTAGACACTAACCAAAATATATAGAATCATGAGTTTTCTTGGGTAAAAGATCATCAGATGAATTAGGGTGGAAATAACAGAAACCACGAGATATATATCACAGTAAAAGTAGTACCTGTGTTAACTGTAGGACCCATGTTAATGAGGCTAATTAAGTGGGCTGGATGTAACCCATAAATAGTTTTTGATTTGGAAATGCAGATGTTAAAGGTGGGAGGAACTGGCTTCAATAAGGTTCTATAGGACTACTCGTTTTTAAAAGAAATGATTTACTGCACTGTAATTTGCCATTGTAGACTTGTCCTAAGAGAAAGCGATTTAGGGGACATTTGGGGCTCCTAATAGAAAAGAGATTGTAGTCCAGAGAATCAGAGAAGAAATTGAAATTATACTACAGTACTTTAACAGTGAATTCAAAGAATATTTGGATTGCTTTACAGCAAAATTTTCAAAGCAATGAAAACAGCATAAAATATTAATTTTAGACATTTGTTTACATGACAAGATATTACAGTCCTGTTTTTTCTATAGATTGAATATTTTCATATCTATTTCATATGTGGTTAGAAAGTTCATAATTCAGCCCATAATTTATGCTCCTAAAATGTGTTATGATATAATATATTTTTTATTCTGCTAAAGAGAGCTAGGGAAGGAGAGGAAGACGAGAGGCTGTTTGCTTGGACCAATATATGTATTATTTTATTTCAAGCTACAGTTTATCTATTAAACTGCCCAAAGCACTATATAGTGCACAAGTCTTAAATATTACTGAGAGACCAATGTTTCCTACCATCATGACCATAAAACGTTTTTTTTCTTCCACAACAAAATTCAATGGATATCTTGCTCTCAACGTATATTCTAGCTCCAACAAAATCATGATGCATTTATTAAGTAATCTGACTCTCCATCTCCCCTTTCTTCCTGTCCCAAAAAATCCACACAAATACTTGTGTAATTGTCTATCTGTAGCTCTTAAAGCAATGCAGTATGTTTAACTCTGTTTGAATATACTGTATTTTAAATTAACCAATACCTTACAGAAAAAACATGTAAGTGTTAAAAAAAAATTATACAGATAAACACTATTACAAGACTATTGTGTTATACTAGATACCTGCATGTCACATTTGTTGAAACATCATAGAAATGCAAATAAATACCTTAAGAATAAGTTACTGTTACATTACATTATAGTAATAATTTACTAATAAGATCTCTCTGCTGAGGATGTTTATTATTATTTAAACTGTTAACAGATTAAATAGCAGGTTGAGCTGCTCCAGGTTTGGTCAGGCACACTGCGTTGCATCACGCCACAGGAAGGGGGCTGCTCCAGTTCAGCCTGGCTACAGCACCCCCGCAAATGGCTGGGCAGGGAGCTGTTCTAGCTCAGCTGGTCCACTGGTTAACTCATTACCCATAAGTATTACCTGATGGGGCGAAGCTTAGCAGGTAACAAGTTAACCCTGTACATCTCTACTCCCTGCACTGTTATACTATACAGGCAGTCCCCGGGTTACATGGATCTGACTTACATCGGATCCCTACTTACAAAAGGGGTGAGGCAACCCTGCACTAGCTGCTTCCCCCCCAGCAGACTAGGGAGACGCGAAGCTAGCGCCCCCCCCCCCCAGCAGACCAGGGAGACAGGGAAGTGAGGTGTGGGAGAATAAAAGTGAGCTCTGGAGAAATGTTTGGCTAGAGTTTCCTCTACAATATGAACCAGTTCCGACTTACATACAAATTCAACTTAAGAACAAACCTACAGTCCCTATCTTGTAAGTAACCTGGGGACTGCCTGTACATCCAAAATTTGAATTTTCATTACTCAAATTAACTTCTTTTCATAATTCTTTTTCATACATAAAGCCAACAATGTTCTGCAATAGTTAAAGATGAAAATGAAATTTTAAATTTTTCATATGTTCTTTTGCATATTAAGTACACATGAATTTTTAATAAGGACTGACATTTCTTACTGTATTTTTCCCTGCTAGCTAAAATGATTCCTGAAGATATTATCCACATCCCACTAACATGGTTTTGTTCAATACCATGTCAGCCTAGACAAATGCACTCAGTGAACTACATTTTCAAGCTACAGCTGTAAGAGGTATATAAAATACAGAAGGTTAATATGAACTTACCAACTCTATTCCCTGTGGAAATGGAGTATCATCCCAATCTTTCTGAGGAAACCTTTGAATTATTTTTCCCAAACCTTCTGCTGAGCCTGTATGAAAGCAAAAAAACAAGGCATGAAGCTTTCCCCTATTCAGCAAATTTACTAGTAACAACACCCGTAGCTTATGTTATAATAAATATCACAGTGTAAACTATTACATTTACCCATCAAGACAGACAAATCCTACAATGAGAGGCTTGAAGTGGCCTTCTATTTTTATTAAAATAAAATACAAGAGAGACCTGCCCTGCATATTATCTAGAGCTGATTTCTAAATTTGTCACAGACATGAAAATGATGTGGATTATAACTTTAAGTTTATTGCTCAATAGTTTACCTGATTTGAGTTAGAATAGCATATTTGTTTTACACAGGGCACAAATTTTGACTGTTCTCCTGTCTTTCTTGCCAGAACCCTTATTTAATTTCCTTGTATGCAAGCATGAGATTAGGGACCCTTTAGGAAGGAGTCTATGTATTTCTTAGACTTAGGAATAATCAAAATGAAATAGGAGTAGTTTAATAATATAGCTCTGTCCATGGCTTGCTCTCAATTCTAAAAATTGTTTTTGCCTGGTCATATTACTACACTCCACAAGCATCTTAACCACTAGAGAAATTCCATTCCCCAAACATTCTGTAAAACTGAAAAATGTCTCAATTGGAGAGTCCATTTACTTTCTTTCTTTGCCATTGTCGTTGGAGTCTTAGTTTGGGATAGAAGGGGAACAAAGAATTAATGTTCATAAGTGGTAAATATTAGAATTGATTAAAAATAAGTTGTTCATTTAATTGTCTTAGTAAACCTTACACCATCACCTTAATTTGAATTCTTCCTGAGACTCTGGAAATGTAATTCAACCCCTTAGCCGTTGCAATCTACGGAACCTATTTGACTAAATTACCCCATTCCCTTGCATGCACTGATGTACTCTCCTGACACACACACTCTTGTCTTGGAGCAGCTGAAAAGTTTTCAACATGCCTAACCTTAAAGTTAAAAATATAATTTAGCCACTGTAGTTTTAAGTGCATTGTCAGTGACTCCAGGTAACACCCTCCCAATACATGAGAAGACAATGAAGCCAATATCTTGCCATCAGAAAAACAATAATCTGCAGTTTAAGCACAGGACTCGGATGAAAAAGTCTTGTCTGGATCTACTACGGTCTTACTTCTTTGGACAAGTCAGTTAGATCAAGGCTGCAATTTTCAAAGGGACCTAAAATAGTAAAATTCCATTTACATGGATATTGATCATGGACTTAATTTAGATCCTTTTGAAAATCCTAACCTTAACTCATCTGTGATTCGAATTCTTTAGTTGTAAAATTAGGATAATATTTTCCTACCTTGTAAAGGTATTAAGGTGCTTAATTTTTTTTATAAAGTGCACCGTATTTTCAGAAGCAAGATGCTGTAAGATTGCACAGAATTTAATATGCACAACAAAGATTTTTCCAACATTTTTAATATATTTGCAACAGGAAATGTAAACTCACTGGGGTCCAATAATGAAAATAATTTAAAATCTATATGATCTAAAACTCACTAGTCAGCTGTCCTGCACTTCTACAACGTACTATGGATACTTAACATACCCTGGAAACCATCTTACAATGTTAAAATCACGTTTGTGAGGACAGATTAAAGCAAAGTATATCCTTGTACAATTTTCAGAGAATCTATTTAAACATTAAGAAATACAAAGAAAGGTGTTAATATCAGAGAGATTTAAGAGTGATATTCTGTATCTGACTCTCTGAAGATATTCAAACAGGGACACAGAATAAATTACTATATTGTTTGTACTGCTACAAAAAAACCATAATACAAAACAGCAAGATATCTAATAGTGAAAGTCAATTCACAATAATATTGTTTCAGTCTAAGCAGATCATAGAATACTAGGACTGAAAGGGACCTCGAGAGGTCATCAAGTCTAGTCCCCTACCCTCATGGCAGGACCAAATACGGTCTAGACCATCCCTGATAGACATCCATCTAACCTTCTCTCCAGAGATGGGGATTCCACAACCTCCCCGGGCAATTTATTCCAGTGTTTGACTACCCTGACAGTTAGGAACTTTTTCCTAATGTCCAACCTAAACCTCTCTTGCTGTAGTTTAAGCCCATGACTTCTTGTTCTATCCTCAGAAGCCAAGATGAACAAGTTTTCTCCCTCCTCCTTATGACACCCTTTTAGCTATCTGAAAACTGCTATCATGTCCCCCCTCAATCTTCTCTTTTCTAAACTAAACAAACCCAATTCCTTCAGTCTTCCCTCATAGGTCATGTTCTCTAGACCTTTAATCATTCTCGTTGCTCTTCTCTGGACCCTCTCCAATTTCTCCATATCTTTCTTGAAATGCGGTGCCCAGAACTGGACACAATACTCCCACTGAGGCCTAACCAACGCAGAGTAGAGCGGAAGAATGACTTCTCGTGTCTTGCTCACAACACACCTGTTAATGCATCCCAGAATCATGTTTGCCTTCTTTGCAACAGCATCACACTGCTGATTCATATTCAACTTTTGGTCCACTATAACCCCTAGATCCCTTTCTGCCGTACTCCTTCCTAGACAGTCGCTTCCCATTATGTATGTATGAAACTGATTGTTCCTTCCTAAGTGGAGCACTTTGCATTTGTCTTTATTAAACTTCATCCTGTTTACCTCAGACCATTTCTCCAATTTGTCCAGGTCATTTTGAATTATGACCCTGTCCTCCAGATTAGTTGCAACCCTTCCCAGCTTGGTATCATCTGCAAACTTAATAAGTGTACTTTCTATATCAATATCTAAATCGTTGATGAAGATATTGAACAGAGCCGGTGCCAGAACAGACCCCTGTGGAACCCTACGTGTTATGCCTTTCCAGCAGGATTGTGAACCATTAATAACTACTCTGAGTATGGTTATCCAGCCAGTTATGCACCCACCTTATAGTAGCCCCATCTAAGTTGTATTTACCTAGTTTATTGATAAGAATATCGTGCGAGACCGTATCAAATGCCTTACTAAAGTCTAGGTATACCACATCTACCACTTCTCCTTTATCCACCAGACTCGTTATCCTATCAAAGAAAGCTATCAGATTGGTTTGGCATGATTTGTTCTTTACAAATCCATGCTGGCTGTTCCCTATCACCTTGCCACTTTCCAAGTGTTTACAGATGATTTCCTTAATTACTTGCTCCATTATCTTCCCTGGCGCAGAAGTTAAACTAACTGGTCTGTAGTTTCCTGGTCTGTAGTTTCTTATTTCCCTTTTTTATAGATGGGCACTATATTTGCCCTTTTCCAGTCCTCTGTCTCCCATGATTTTCCAAAGGCTTACAGGATCTGCTGACAAAGTGATCTGGCATGGGCAGATCCCTGTTTAGACTGCCATACTGTGCCGACAAACAGCTAATCGGCACAGCACAGAGGCCATTTTGATTTAAATGAAGCGGTGATTATTTAAATCTCAGCTTCATTTCCCTTTGTCGAGTAAACTAATCTACATGTTCAGTGAACACTGAAACAAAGAAGTCATTGAGCATCTCTGCCATTTCCAAGTTTCCTATTACTATTTCTCCCTCCTTATTGACCAGTGGGCCTGCCCTCTCCTCGGTCTTCCTCTTGCTTCTAATGTATTTATAAAAAATCTTCTTGTTTCCCTTTATTCCCTTAGCTAGTTTGAGCTCATTTTGTGCCTTTGTCTTTCTAATCTTGCCCCTGAATTCCTGTGCTGTTTGCCTATACTCATCCTTTGTAATTTGTCTTACTTTCCATTTTTTATATGACTCCTTTTTTATTTTTAGATCGTTCAAATTCTCGTGGTTAAGCTAAGGCGGTCTTTTGCCGTATTTTCTATCTTTCCGACACATCAGAATAGCTTGCTTTTGAGCCCTTAACAATGTCCCTTTGAAAAACTGCCAACTCTCCTCAGTTGTTTTTCCCCTCAGTCTCAGTTCCCATGGGATCTTACCTATCAGCTCTCTGAGCTTACCAAAATCCACCTTCCCGAAATCCATTGTCTCTATTTTGCTGTTCTCCCTTCTACCCTTCCTTAGAATTGTGAACTCTAGGATTTCATGATCACTTTCACCCAACCTGCCTTCCACTTTCTAATTCTCAACCAGTTCCTCCCTATTTGTTAGGATCAGATCTAGAACAGCTTCCTCCTGGTAGCTTTTTCAACCTTCTGAAATAAAAAGTTGTCTTCAATGCAGTCCAAGAACTTATTGGATAGTCTATGCCCTGCAGTATTATTTTCCCCAACATATATTTGGATAGTTGAAGTTCCCTATCTGTGTGCCCTTTAAACCAACACTGACTAATTTACAGTTTGAATTTGCCTTAGTCCTGTGAAATCCACAATAAAAGCAGCTAAAATTTGTTTTGAAGCAATCAGTATGGCAGATTAGTTTTTTCTAATGAGTCTATTTTAATATACTTACTCTCAAAATTAGTTCTACCATTGGCCTTCTGTGATCTGTAATAATTCTTGAAAATAGAATGGCAACACAGTAAGTTATAGTATAGCATTTATTCTTCCTTACGGAGAGCAGCCTTACCCCTAAAAAGTGCACACTGTAACTATTCCTAGCCCAAGTTTAATCAGTTTTCACATAAACAGGACTGGATATTGGAGAACTGCAATCAAAATAGGTCAGAACCAAGGAGGATCAATGGGATAAGAGATGTGGCCAATATGATGGCAAGTAACAGACCAGAGGAAACCCAGTTTACTGAGAAGCTGTAAGTGCACCTGTCTTTATTAGATAGGAACTGTATATCAGAAAGGGGGCGATAAGTGGCAGAAACTAAGAAGCAGATAGAGACAGTTGCATAATTGCAATTGTGTAAGGAAGAGAGCTCTAGATGCACTAATAAAAGTCAGAATTAAGAGGGGGCCTTCTACATATTTTATTTAAATTTCCCTTTCTTACATCACATGTTGCTTAATCAGCTCTTAAAGCAGAAATTTCTGTGTCAGGTTATAACAAGCAGTCCTGTGGCACCCTAGAGACTAAAAAATATATCATGAGCTTTCATCTGA